AAACGACCGACAAATGTTACACCTCATTGCTACCACTGCCTACGACAACTCTCGGCGAAAGAAAACTACTCCACACCTCAACAAACAAACAATTTAGAAAGAGTAACCACGAAGAAGAAAACGACTGTTCGAAGAAGAAGCTCCAAACCCAATGAAAGGAACAATTTCACTTTCACTCTTTGGAAGCAACGGAAAATATCGACGGCCAACTTATGATATTCTAGCAATGCCAATGTCCGTCACAACCAGGAACATTGTCCAGTGTCCTGTTCATCAACTCTAACTTCCTTACAAAGAACAAACATGTACTTTATTTACAAGAGGTCAATCAGTAGGTCACTGAATGGCCGTCACGTTGTGACACGAGACAAGGACAGAGACGAAGGTTCACGACAAACGACATTCAAAAACAAAGGAGATGAACGACGGCAAAGCGTAGCCATTGGGAAGAAATCTGTTTTCACTCACAGTCTAGGATGGTCCCCTTCCGTCTCGCTTCCATTGATCACAAGAATCATTACGAACCACTCCCACTCGACTAACTGAATTGCTGGAAATATTTCAATTTGAAACTTTACACGACGAGGAAGGGCACTGCTGAAGTAAAACATCAACATGCAAATACTCTAGTCCAGTACCTATGGCTGAGTTTCAAAACCTCCTCCCTGATGTTCCTTGGATATGAACAAGACTACTAATGAACTGCAAGGAACGGACGAAAGTCTTGACGAGCAACCAGAAAGTTTTCAGCTGCGCGACTGGAAAATGTGAGGGATCAACTGACTGAACCTTTGAACTCTGACCTTTAGTTTGCTAGCTGTAGCGCTCTGTTGATGTATTAGTCCGTGAGCCAAATCTCAGAATCGGCCGTTTTCATGGTTTTAGCATCGACCGTTGCACCCAGAGAGGGACAAATCGTCCTTCGGCACACCGCTTCACAATGGTATCCTGAAGCGATTTCCACTTGTTGGACAGTTCGAAACTGATCCAGGGAGGTCACAGAAGACGCCAAACATCCAACTTTGCTCACTGACAGCAGCGGCCATTTTCGCCTTCTTCGCTTGATATTTTTGCGCTTGTTCACGGATTCTCATTTTTTGAAGCCATGAGCAGATACCACGAGTGCACATAACGCGGAAACTAGTGCACAAAACTAGATTCGAATTTTTTTGCCGCTGAGAATTATGAATCAGGATGCAAACTGCATGCAGCAAAGTCACTACTGTTTGTAGTTACAATGCAATCGTTCAGAACTGACTTCCAAGAATGTCCTAAATATCTCTCGACATATTTGTTCACCACTTCCTAGGCCGATAGGCGTAGTAGACTGTAGACTGTAGTGAGTAACCTTCTGGAGCAAATGACGACTGCCCCGAGCATGAACTTCTTTTCATCCTGTTCAAGGTCAAATATTACTCAGTTTGCGTTGAAGAATAACAATTACATTCGTGAATGGCCGAACTGAGAAAACCCTCATGATTTCTCTTGGATTTCGTATCCCAAGTTCCTCTACTTGGCTGGATAAATCGCCTCTTTACTTCATCATACTGGACTGGAACTTGTAGATAATAGCGAGCAATGAATTGGTGAGTGAAGTATATTTCAAAAGTAATAACCACTCGATTACTGAATAGTAGTGAATACGTAGAATACTCCAGTATTATTATTATATGAACACTGAAGCTAATGTGACATTACAGTAGTACAATAGGAAGTACGTCACCACTGTTGTAAATGCACGCGCTGATCCTATCCAACCTGACGGCCAATGCAAGAGGTTGGAATTGGCTATTGATTTCCTAACACACTCATACAGCACCAAAAGCTATCTGTCATTGCTCATTTTCAACTCAACATAACACAGTTGCAAATCACCAGGTGCACATCTTGGCACATAATGTGTGCTGTCGCAGTCCACCGCAGAACATAGTAATCCACAGATAACTACCGATATAACATGATGTCACATACATACATGCATGCATGCATGCGCGCGCACCCACACCCACACGCGTGCGCGCACACAAACACACACACACACACACTTGAAGCAGCTGAATAATCCGACTATGCAGTCTCCCAGGCACGCGCACACACACGAACCAGCTGCCGAATCCAACTATACAGTCTCCCAGGCATGCACGCTCGCACACACACACATGAACCAGCTGCCGAATCCACACAAACACGCGCGCGCGTGCGCACACACACACACATGAACCAGCTGCCGAATGCGACTATGCAGTCTCCCAGGCACGTGCGCACAAACACGCTTATGCGCACGCGTGTGTGCCCGCACACACACATGAACCAGCTGCCGAATGCGACTATGCAGTCTCCCAGGCACGCGCGTGCGTGCGCACACACACACATGAACCAGCTGCCGAATCCGACTATGTCAGTCTGCCATGACTGCGAAACCAGCGAAGACATACAGTGCATTGGCTGCTGCCAGACTGGTCTGCTACAGGTTTGCGACGCTCTTGAGTACACTTGTGGCATGGCAGGCTGCTCTTCGAAAAGGAAATGTTACAAATACTACACTGAATCCGATCACGGGAGGCCGGCTGTGGTGGTGAAGCAATTCTGAATGCTGTGCGCCACTCTCCTCGCTGCTGTGCAGTGTCGAACCAATGTCCTTCAAGATGTAAGTGATGGATGTCTCTTCGGACAACATCACACCAATGCTGTCGGGTTTCACACACACACACACACACACACACACACACACACGGCGCACACCTTGTCGACAATTGCGGAATCTAAAACCCACCAACGACCTGAAACACGGATCGCACTGGCCGCAGTGGCTGTGGCAACACCGTGCCCCAACACCAGTAGTAGCCTGGGGTGGTGTCACCAACAAAGGAAAACGCCTAGCATGCACATGCACGCGCACACACATGCACGCTCGCACACACATGCACACTCGCACACACACACACACATATGCACGCGCACGCACACACACATGCACGCGCACGCGCGCACACACACATCCACGCGCCCACACACACAAACACGCGCACACATGCACGCGCGCGCACACACACATACACAGCTAATGGTATACAGTAGTATGTTGCCCCCAAAGCAGCAAGGTGCTCTGGCTTGGACCTCCAGCAGCGCTGGTTTCGCCCTCGCTACTTGTCGTCTTGCCCTCTCCAGTGCTGCCTGCAACAAAACATTCCCTTCCGGAAACTCTGGGTGGACCAGTTCTCCATGTTGTGTTTACACAGTGCTCTGCTTTCACCGGTATGGCATTCGTTGTTCGTATCAACCACTAAGCTCCTGGTAGGTGGCCCCTTACTGGCCTTAGGATGTGGCTCTGGGTTCACTACTACATGCACATCACTGTCAGCAAGTATAGACAAAGCAAAATCAGAGGCACTGGTCTTCTCCAGGTTTGCAATTGCTATCACATGGGTGCAATTGGTGTAGCACTTTCCATGATACCAGCCACACCATTTACTCCTCCCTGAGCTCTTGTGCTGGCAGAGAAAAGCCCAGATATGGTCGTCCTTCTCTCGAGCAGCGCTGACGATGCGACACCAACTTGTAGTCTCGATATTACTCACTGCAGGCTTCTCGTTTTTACTAAATTGGGCGCTGTGACACAGACACAAAATTCCAGCAATATTACTCCGCTGGGCTGTCATTTGCCACTTCGTTGCCGTCAGCTGCCTCATCCAGCACCTCGCTGCCACTAGAAATGTCTTCCTCTTCTTCCATTGTTGTCAAAACAACATCAATGATTATGTACACGAAAGGAATAAACTTCAATAAAGTGATCACAATATCCCAAGTCAATATTGTCGTCAACGTCGTCATCTTCTAAAAAATAAATTATTTTTTCTCACTCTACGCGAACTCGTGTTTTGCGCTTGCTCATACGACGCACACCTCACCACTCGCGTAAAAATATTTGTTCTCACGGTGGAATTTGGTCGAGAAAAGAAGCCCTCGCGAAGGTCTCTGGATCGGTTCTGGAACGTCCAACAAGCGAAAACGTATCCTTTGTGATGTCCTTGACCAACACTGTAAGCGGCGATTTGTCCATCCGAGAGTGCAACGGCACTTGTGATTTTGAGTTTTGGCTCACGGACTATATGGTAGATCTACATTACAGACAGCAGTAGACTAGACTGCTTGATACAAAATGTATTACTGTGGATGACTAATCGGCACTGACTATTTCTATTCTAGTGCAGTGCTCGCTAGCACTAGCTACACAGCCTACTGAGCCTAGCCTACGTGCGTACATGTACATACTTGGTAATTGTTACGTCATAGATAAAAAACGAAGTAGTGGTTGCGACTTCGGCGATGATTTGTAAGAAAGGGTTTGCTCCCCACACCGGAGCTCGCGCTATTCCGCCGACTTTACTTGACACTTGACTCGTGTGCTCTGGATGGCAGTCGTGAGTCAGTCAAGTGTCAAGTAAAGTCGGCGGAATAGCGCGAGCTCCGGTGTGGGGAGCAAACCCTGTCATAGATAAACGTTACTTTAATACAACATTCAACAAGGACTCTTTTGTGACAAAGTCTCAGACATCAGAGTCATTGCTGCGTAGCATCTGTGTCTGCGCATAGCACTGGTGAGTAGATCTACTGGGGACTAGACCAGAGACACCACACAACACTCTACAGACCAGAAACAAAGTGCAAATTTGGAATCAAGTAAGTGATCAGTACAGTGGTCTAGCCTATGCAATGCACGGCCGGTCGAGATCACGATATGATCTACTGACCCCAAACACGGTCATACTGTGATCAACATAGCCATGTGCAAGAGTACAGAAATCTCCGCGGTCCAAACCAATCAAATACAAATGCGACTATGTCTACCTGGTTTAGCATACACTGTTCTGGTGGCCTAAACTGAATCCTATGCCAGAGCGCTTCTATGGCCAAAAGAGTGGTAGAATCTGACACTCCGTGAATGCGTGTTATTGGATACTACTTGTAAGAGTAGATATCTTTGTCGCTGCATTCTCTTGAATTCTCAATTATGAAAGTGACATAGATATCTACCGTACACATCTCACATGCCTACTAGTGTGTGTTCAGACAATATCCAGTAGACTGTGGGAGAGAGAAAGAGCCACACGTCCATTCAGATAAGAAGGGATCTTTTCAACGCACTCAATGTCACCCATCACACACACAGTGACACAGACACTCAGTCGCACGCACTCACGAGCGCGCGCGCGCGTACGTACCTCGTTGCGATTTTGCTGCAGGCTGAGTTTGAGAGGCAGCGGCGGCGGCAGGTTTGGTTGGTTTCCGGCTGGTAGGAGAGGGAAGTTGTCTGGTCATGTCGCGTCCGTCAGAGGACACAACAACATCTTCTGAATGGTGCTTCATATGAAATTTAGGTGAAGGCATCTTGGCAGTCAAAGGTTTTCACGGTGTTATTGTACTGCAGAAAATCTCAAAGAGAAAGAGGAGGAACGACAGCATCTAATGTATGTGATTGAACAAGCGCAGCGTCTCCGCGGCACGTTATTCCACGCATGCGCCTAGTAGTCGCGCTGCCGTGGCATAAGCTTTCAGCTTAGACACTGCAACTGGTTGGTTGCTAGGAGCTACGTTGCTGATTGGTTGAATTTTGAATAGGTTTGTTCATTGGATTGTCTTTGACAACATGGTGTTGTCACAGGCTTGTGCAGACCATGGACGGCTTGTACTTGTACTTGTAGGACTAGACGGAGTAGACTCTCTGAGTCTGAGGAGAGCAGCGACCTGACAAAGCACAACCATCTGAACAGCTTGACATAAAGACAGTGCGAAGCTCATCCAGGCGCCGATCATCGGGGCACGTGATTCAAGGTTCGTCCATCCCGCTGTGTCTGTCGGGACACCAAGATGGCAAGAATCAACATGCATAACCGTCCGAGAGTGTGCATTATTTGCACTTGAGTCCACAGCCCCATGGAGGAACAATAATATCCAAGGACAGGGATCAGATCCGGCGACGGCGAAAACTCACATCACGTGGTGTAGTGCTCATGAGTCAGATTGGACTTGTACAGTACCACTTCCTTGAAGTACATAATTGTATGTCTCTAGGGTGATTCTAGCGAGATTTGGAGTCATAAAATTAGTACTCCTTGATCTACACAGCTCACTGCCATGGCATTGGAGACCATGACAAATACACGGAATGTTCAGTGCTGCTCAGTGAAGTCTCCAGTCGCGTCATATCACTCAAGTAACTAACTAATAATAAGTATTACTTAGTTTGCTTTGCAGCATTTGGCAGGCCTGTGTTGGCGGGTCTAGGACTGTGTCCGGCGCATACTCGAGTGACGGGACTGGATTGGATTGAGTAGTACTATAGTGCATGCAGTTTTCATTCATTTACAAAAGTCCGCATTATGAAATAAATAGTCACAGCCGGCCAAACATGCACACCGACCCGCTTTGCTGCACAAATCCCTGTGCTGGAACGCGATCAGTTGTAACCCGCTTTGCACAAATCCCTGTGCTGGAACGCGATCAGTTGCAACCCCGCTTTGCACAAATCCCTGTGCTGGAACGCGATCAGTTGCAACTCCGCTCCTCCATGCACCATATGCCTAGCCCTACAAGCCAGGTATAATCGTACTCTAGGGGCGGCGAAGGAGTATGCGCACTAGAACGAACAGACTTGTAGAGTTTTACTAAGATAACATGAGTCTTAGCTTAACCAGGCCTGCAGGCACACGATGCCCGGTTGTACAAGGTGGCTGAACCGTATAGATAATAATTTTCTTGATGCAAAAAAGGAACAACTTTGACTAGGCTACACTGTCACTGTGACTCTCATCGCCATTTCTTCGATACCAGACAGTGCTGCTGTAAGCGCTCTGATTCACAAACGATTGCATAGTTTGCATGTTTGCAGCACTAGCACTTGTGCCCAGGATCATGTCGAGTATGGCGTCCCTGCGACAATCACAACGGTACAAGCTGTCTTGCAGGTGTCTGTCACCCCTTAGTGGCTGTCTCTAAGCTGTGCAATCATGCATCCTTGTCCAATGAGCTAAGGGGACATCTCTAGGGTCCAGCGGATAATGCCGGCATTTTATTCGGCATTATGAGACTATCCGAGCATCAGAGCATTAGAAAGGAACAAGACGAGCATTATGTGAGGTTTGAGCATCATAACGAGTTTCATAGTGGATACTGTCGGAAAATATCAGGTTTTTGGCAACAATCGGCTAGCCTAAAGCCATGAGGTGCAACGCCATGTATTGTACCGACACATGACTTTGTGATTTGTAGACATGGAACACCTTTACTGCTTTAGCACTAATGCTACATTTACCTGACTACATTGTAATGCCATTGCTACGTACATAAAGTCTTTATGTAGCAATGTAGTCAGGTAAATGTACACGTGATATAGCATGCCCAACGTTACAACTGATGCTGTTACTTGTTAGTGTTACACAAAATCCGTAACGATGATTTACGAGGAGTTTTTTTTTAGAAATCATGAAGAACCATGGAGGAGACTAGAGTAGATGTACGCGAAGTGAATGTCAAACAGACGAAGAGAAGTTTCCAGTTATGCCATAGGCTCTGGCCAAAGCATCTCTAGTGATACTGAAGTAAACACTGATCCATTTTGATAAATTTGGACCTGGATGAAGGAGCGGCTATAAACAGAAAGAGCTTGTTCCAAATAACTGCCTTTGCCGAGCCAGCTCAGCAGGCTCGAAAAGAATTAGAATTTCTCATGGACGCAGTACCAAGTCGATTTGAGTGCTCAGCAGCGCGTGTCTTACTTTCCTGGTGAAACACGTACAGTTCGTCGAGGACGATTGTAATGCAAGGCCTACAGTCAAATGCTATCAGAATAGAAGAGTATTCTGGCCAACCATTTGTCTCCACGCAACCTCAGGAGAAGAAGACAGCGCAAGCAGAGGGTGTAGAGCGGCAAAATAACTTCTGACCATGTGGTTTTAGGATTTCCGCAAATGGGAGGAGGGATCTCGATCTGAGATCGTCTCTCAGGAACTGGCCTCACGTGAGCTGTTTCAGATGAAGATATTTTTTCACAGAGTGTAAGCAGTGACAGCTTGTCTGCAGGGAGGAATACCACTTCCGAAGATACATGTAAGCTTCCAGCATCTAAATGATCACCAGCAATAATGGTTTCACCTCTCACTACATGGATAAGCAAGGGAAAAGATTTTTGATACACCCACTATTCAGCCACAGCCCTGCATCAAAGTTGCTATGGAGAGCAGCCAATGGAGACGTGATCGTGTCTTATAGTGCTAAGAAGTGATGGAGCTCGTGAGAGATATTGTAGCAGCTTCAGAGGCAGATCGACTAAATGCATCATGTCCTGGAAGTTTGACAATGTGCACCCTTTCTTCCATTTTTGTTCCAAACCAAGCAATACACTGATTGTATACATGTAGATATTTAGTTATTTCAAATGGTGGACGGTACTATTCGGCCAATAAAATGTAAAGAACTCTTCCTCTCCTCTCCTCCATGCGCTCTCACAGCCGACTCACTGCTACCCTCAGTAGCCATTACACACACCAACCAAGGAAGGGTTGCAGGTAGATACTGACATTCCTCCTGACAGCTGTTTCGCCTTCATAAGGCTCATCAGAGAAGGTGATAATTATTGAGTAGATATTTAGGTTAGGATTACGGTTAGTTATGTACATGATTGTCATGTACATGTACAATGTAGCACCATTAGATCAGGGCAATTGTCTAGTTGTAACCACTCCAGGTCCAGATACTCGTAAGCAAATCTCCGCACACACACACATACACACACACACACACACACACACACACACACAGATAGAGCAGATCACCATGGCACAGGGCAGGCAAAAAACTTGAAAAACGCACTAGTACTACTTGAAGTAGTTGACAATAATGATGCCATGCATTGCTGTAACCATAGTAACCCATTGCTACACGTACTGCAGCATTGCTGTAACCAACAGTAGATAAACAAGAGTGTGCAACTCCCGGAACCGCACGGATGGGTTGGCCCACGGCGGAATTTTTTGTTGACGTAATCTTTTCGACCACCCAAGCGCTGCTAGTCTTTTGTAAAGTTTTGCCTCGTGCACTTGGCCGGGCTAACATTACAATGTCGGTGCCCAGCACGTGCTCTCACACTGCTCTGCGGCAAGAAGCGCGTTTTTCTGAAAAAAAGGTGACGTCAACAAAACATTCCGCCGTGGGTATCAGGAGATTGTACAGGAGAGATCCGGAGTTGCACACTCTTTGTTTATCTACTCTTGCTGTAACCTATTGCTACACGTACTGCAGCATTGCTGTAACCATAGTAACCTATTGCTACACGTACTGCAGCATTGCTGTAACCATAGTAACCTATTGCTACACGTACTGCAGCATTGCTGTAACCATAGTAACCTATTGCTACACGTACTGCAGCATTGCTGTAACCATAGTAACCCATTGCTACACGTACTGCAGCATTGCTGTAACCCATTGCTACACGTACTGCAGCATTGCTGTAACCTACATGTATTGCTACACGTATTGCAGTAGCCATAAAGCGTACAGGAACGCCCAGGGCAATGAGAGATGCAGACCTAAGCCACAGGATAAAAATAAATGATAACGTTGAAACAGACTACTACTAAGAGTGACTTAGAGTAGAGTGTATGGACAGGCCAAGAGTGACTTAGGGCACGTTCCAATTTATTATTTTTTTAATTTATTTATTGCAGCATCTCATAGCACAGTGAGAACACCGGCGAATACAAAGAGAGAGGGTGTTAGCCAACCATGGCAAGGAAGGGAGAAGGGGAGGAGAAAAAAAAAATTGTCACTCTTTGACTTTTCAAGGAGTTTCGTTTTTCTGAAGAGGTGGCCTTATTGGCCTCTTCAGAAAAACGAAGCTCCTCGAAACTCCTGGAAACTCATCTGATGGGAAAATGGATTAGTTTCGAAGAGTTTGGAATAGCTACGCCACGTAGTACGTGAAGATGGTCGATCTGATCCGACGTCATCATCGCCATGACAATTCCACTGAAAAACTCTAAAATGATAGAAACCGTTCGAATGGGACACTTCAACTAATCTCTTTATAAAATTTGTTTGAACAGTTGATGAAGACAATTCAAACGCGCCCTTGGAGTAGAGTGGATGGACAGGCTAAGAGTGAGTGTGTATGGACAGGCTAAGAGTGACATAGAGTAGAGTGCATGGACAGGCTAAGAGTGAGTGTGCATGGACAGGCTTGGAGTAGAGTGCATGGATAGGCTAAGAGCGACAAAGAGTAGAGTGTATGGACAGGCCCCTTGCCAGTCACACACAGCACAGTATGTTGGCTAGTGGTAGTGGTAGTGGTAGTGAATACTAGTACAATGATAACTGATATGATTGTTATGTAGTATACTGATGATGATTGTAGTGCTAGTATTTCACACAGAGCACAGTATGGCAGAGCAAGGTTTGCAGAGTGAGATCACGTACGCATGCATAACAATACACATACACATACACATCCACCCACACCCCCCCCCCCCCACACACACACATACACACACACACACACACACACACACACACACACACATACACACACACATACACACACACACACACACACACACACACACACACACACACACACACACACACACACATACACATACACACACATACACACACACACACATGTACAGTCCTGCTCAATGGAATCCAGCAGTCATGCCACTCAAGGCAGTTTGCACCTTGCATCATTTCGCAGCCCAGTGTTCGCAGGTCTAGTGCCGCGCAACGCCCGGCGCGTACGTAGTGACGTGACGTGACTGGCTTTCACTGAGCAGGACGTTACACGTGCACATACATGTACACATACACACATACACATGTCCGTGTAAACGTTCACATACGCGTGCACATGGACATACAAATACACACGTTCAAGCGCAACAACAGCAGCAATAAAAAGAGCAGCAGCGTCAACTGTGATCCCGTCACCACCGTCATGATGGCCATCCTAAACAGCTAGCAGCGGCCCACAGTATCACAAGGACTCAACATGACATCGCCATGACATCAGAGCCTGCCTCAACATGATGTCATTGCAATCCAGAAAAGATCATGTGACATTGGTTGACCATCAGGCAACACTGGCTGAGGGTGCTGAAGAGGAAGAGGAAGTTCCTTTGATGACCCGGATGACATACATGACAACCAGTGCCGTCTGAAAGGAAACCAAATCAAACACAGGGAAAAGCACCGAATGTGTAAGTATCGTAAAGTCCGCTGTAAACGCCCATCCCATTTTTGCAAGATCTGCTGGCCTATACGCACTGACCCCGTGCACTTTCACCCCTGCTGTACGAAAGTGCATCTCACACCGTAGCGCGAGGAGTGCTTTGCTACGGTAAACTATGTCCATTTTCCGGGTTTCAAAATATCTTTGGGCACTAGCTACGAGCTAGCTCCTAGTGATTTTATGATGATGGTTGTTTTATTTCGCAAATCCAAACGGGAGTTACTTCGGAATAACAAGGTAGCGAAGAACAGGCTATTGCAGGAACCAAATACACTTCTGGCGGTGTTTCAAGCCATGATTTCCAAATCACGCAAAGCGCAATGGCAAAGGTTTTTCTCGAGCACTTCAGAGTTTTCAACAAGTTAGCAGCTACTTTGTATGTGTAGCTTCTGTGACATTCCCCCCCCCCCCCCCCCCCCTGTTCGACTTGCAACTGCAATACTGCGACATTGAATGACGCTTCGTCAGAACAATCACCGTTTCATTCTGAAAGCGCGACATCGTGGCACTGCAGAAATTTCATGATTTGAAAACCAGATGGATTCTACGGCATAACTTCATGGAGAACGAACTAATAACAAAGACGACTCATGCATCGTATGAAAGGAAATCTCGACCGAAGATTTTTTTCTTCTTTGCAGCAAGATATTGACAATCGCTTTTGCGAGCCTCTTGGTAAGACATAGGCAGTTTGTAGGCATTTTAGTCGTTCTCGTACACATTCGACCTTCATGCCAGTTGCCTACAACTGAAAAAGACCAAAATAGTATGGACCCGCTGGGGTAGGCGTTTGCAGCGAAGTGGGCGTTTGCAGCGGACTTTACGGTATACGTTGGATGACTGTCGCCAACACCTCTTGTAAACACTGAGTAAGACTGATCAAGTAAAGGCCGCTCAGTAATGGGCACAGATGTGTGTACCGTTTACATGACGGTTGTACGGGGCAGAGTTCAGGAAAATGACTGCGAGTTCTGCACGCATTTTATTTTCAAATCGCACACGAACGCAGTGGTAAATGTTCATGTACGGTGAAATTCGGATCAAGAAGTGCCGGCTCACGCCTTCCGATTGTCACTTATTTTTCGAGAAGGTGAAGGATCGGCTAGGACCTTCCACTGAACGAATAACCAGCAGGAAAATGCCAAGAAAGAAACAAAAGAGACGAACTGTCCACGGCAACATCCTCTCTGGCTCACCAGGCAAAACCGAAAAATACGGAAAACTCACTTTAACCCTTTATGTACCAGCCACCTAATGTATGTAAGGGGCTATCGCAGCCAAAGAAGCAAACATGGTATGAAATCTAGATAACTTTTGTATATGCAAGTTGTGTTTTCCTGACTCCATATGTATCACTGCACCCAGGTAAGCATGGATATTGGGACAGCATGCAGTAGTATACGAAGGCCATATGTGGAATACCAAAGATACGCGCCAATTGTGCATATTTCTGACCAATCAGGCTATCAGAAACAAATAGGATGAAAATTAGTTTGTGCTCATGTACTGGGAACATGGATGCAGCTAATGGGATCGTTCTCGGCACTTGTGCCAGTGGTTGTGAGACTTATCCACTCACCCCCACCGTTAGGCGCTGCATCTGCCGCTAGGATTTACCGGGTGTTAGCGGCTGTCGTGAGTTCCCTTCGGGAACGGACACGATAATTTACTTTACTTTTACTTTACTGGGAACATAGGGACAAAACAACCTCATAAGAGTTGTCTCAGTGCACGAAGAGCACCAACATGCCAGGGATATGGTCATATTGTCACATATTTGAGGTAAACCAATTGCTTCAAAATTGCAATTTTCGAAGTATTGTTTCAGGTTCGAAATCTATATTTTTCTTCATCTACTCACATCCAGCGTAAGGTAAGTGACAGAGAAAACAAGAAGCACTCGCTGACTGGTGAATTACGCTTGCCTTGACGATTTAAGCCATCGCTGCCCTCCCTCTCGTTCCTGTTTGGAGAGCGAATACTGCGATGGGACCAGCGATACAGATTTTCCATTTAGAGTCGCATTCCGCGATGATATAGCCACAGCCAATCTCTCCAAGCGTCCACCACATCTAGAAGACGTCGACATTACCTGGAACAAGCTACATTCTCGCTACAAGCAGCGAAACTGAGCGAGAACACGATCGAAATAGCGAAAATTGTTTGCGCTGATCGCGTTTGTTCTCTATACTTTCAAATGGCAACCTACCCATGTCATACCAGTGTCTGCTCCAGCGCCGGGTGAGCCGGGTAATCCACCTGGTTGGGCGGCGCTTGGACCCGGTTGAAAATATAGTACCGGGTCACCTGTGACCCGGTTGGTACTTTACACTTTCGAACTTTGAAAGGACTGACTACATGGCTTGTGTGTGTCAGATACTTCTTCTTCTTTCGTAATTTTCTAATTCTTGTCCTCTCTTTTCTAAATGCGGCTTATCCTTTCGCCTTTACATCATTGGGCCTAGTTCCCGTTTATTGTCCGAATTAAAATAAACCAACCAACCATGCAGTTAAAGCATGTGACTCGGCTGGTGAGACAGCGCCGGCAGGTACATGTGTACCCGGCTGGTGAGACAGCGCCGGCAGGTACATGTGTACCCGGCTCCGACCCGGTTGAAATGGTTGCTCCAGGTATACGTATACCCGGCTGTCCTACAATCCTAGAGCACACACTGCATACACCAACATTTTCACTGGGATCACTTTTTCACTGGGATCTCAGCTGAGGTCAACGGTTCTGTAATGCTGGACGCCGTTGAAGTCGGATTTAGACAGAATTGACTGGTTTCACCATGCCAACATTCGCTCCATCCTTGGCGTATCGCGCGGCCGACAGTGGGAACAGCGCATCTCCTCACAGGAACTGCGAGCACAGTGGGGTGATCACACACCGTTATCACGTATGGTGCACCAGAGACGATTGGAGTGGCTTGGGCACCTGGCTCGCCTTGATCACACACCAGAGTACCAATGCAGTCAGTGTTTGCATGTCTCCCTCGCCATCGGCCATTCTGTGGACCTTGTCGTCGCTGGAAGGACACCATCCACACAGATCTGTTGCTGGAGTGCGTAACTAGTTCAAGTTGGCACAGCGACCGTGGAGAGTGGCGTGGTGTGGTGGCAGCAGCAGGTCAGGACAAGGAACCTGCTCCGAAGAACATTGAGTGCCCAAAATGCAACCGTCTGTTCCACTGCAGTTCTGACATGGTCCGGCATAAGTGTTCTACACTCGGTCAGCGCCCAGTATCAGAGCTGCTGCCTGGGACAGTGCAGTGGCCAGTATCAGAGCTGCTGCCTGGGACAGTGCAGTGGCCAGTATCAGAGCTGCTGCCTGGGACAGTGCAGTGGCCAGTATCAGAGCTGCTGCCTGGGACAGTGCAGTGGCCAGTATCAGAGCTGCTGCCTGGGACAGTGCAGTGGATAGTATCAGAGCTGCTGCCTGGGACAGTGCAGCGCCCAGTATCAGAGCTGCTGCCTGGGACAGTGCAGTGGCCAGTATCAGAGCTGCTGCCTGGGACAGTGCAGTGGCCAGTATCAGAGCTGCCTGGGACAGTGCAGTGGCCAGTATCAGAGCTGCTGCCTGGGACAGTGCAGTGGCCAGTATCAGAGCTGCCTGGGACAGTGCAGTGGCCAGTATCAGAGCTGCCTGGGACAGTGCAGTGGCCAACATGCCAGTATCAGAGCTGCCTGGGACAGTGCAGTGGCCAACATGCAACCGATGGCTACGTAGCAGGGGAGGCTTTGCGGTGCATAAGTGTCGGCTAGATGTTGGCGACCAGCCGCCTGCCCCTGCTCCTCTAGTTGTTCCGGATGTAACTTGCACAACCTGTTTAAATCGGCTACGGGTCTCAAGCGTCATTGTTGTGGAACCTGTCCAAAGCGCCCTACTGTGGCTCAACACCAGCAATTCAAGCTTCACCGCCAAGTTTGTCACAACCGACACTTCCGGAGGGGGCAAGATTGCGATCGCCACTTGCAGCATTGCCTGCCCCCCCCCCCTCCTCCTTACCTCTCTGACAGTATCTCCCATCTGGGAGCGGCGTGGCCAATTCTCAGTGGCGTGTCCAGGATTTGGCTGAGGGGGGGGGGGGGGGGGGAGGGTTGCGGCCGGGATCAAGGCGGGATGGGGTGGGGGTAGATGACATCATGCTACTGTACTAGGTCAGCCATTTTGAAAACCGATGTCAAGAAGCTCCTCCTGTAGCCCCCTTCTTCAACAGTTATTCACCCGAACGGCCCCAGAGACTGTTCCGGAGGATCAGCGCACCACACGGGGACAAGTGTCGGACTTGCTTCAAGTTGCCTTTCTTCGTGGGCCTGCGGGACGATCGACCATGATGATTTGGGGAAGCATTCTCTGGAACGCTCTCCCCTCTGATTTTAGAGTGATACATGTCCCTGGTCCCTTCCGAAAAGCTCTTTCTGCCATTGATATACTTACTTTGTGAATATCCTCGTTAAACTTCTATTATCTGCCATAAATTCCCACCTTCTCATCTATCAATCATTTGTGCATGCATGTCTATAAAATCAATCACGTGTTCCTGACTCCATAAAATTGTCTATTCTTTGACTCCATGAAATTATTGTCGTTCTATTTCTGACTCCATGAAATTGTCTTCAAATAAAATTTTCCTTTTCTTCTTTTGGTCCTTTCTGTCTTATTATTATCATTTCTTGTTTTCCCTTGCATATCATCCCTTCATCATTCTGTGAGAACCTGTCCTATGGGCAGGTGAGAAGGCATCTCTGCCTGTTCATTTGGTGAAGTAAAATAAACAACAACAACAACAACAAGCCGTAAATCTCACACACCACGAGCAGTATTTCTGTACACGCAGCAACAATGTACATTGTGAACTTCAAATTTGCCGTTATGCGAGCGAATCAACTGCAATTATTTATGCGAGTCCAACAATTTCTCACCGTTCTCAAAGCATCTTTTACATAGGCAGCGGTACTTGTCACTGTGCGCTGTTCTTCATGTTCTGGCTGCTCGCTGACAACAGGTTCTTCAACGTCTGGCGGAGTGTGACTGTCAGTCCGCTCCGAAAGTTCAACTGGAATAACAGCGATTTCATCACTCCCACTTTTCCTGTTGGAGCGGCAGCAGGAGTTGCGCCGCCACAGGAACGCTTTACAAAAATTCCGGGTTCTGCTGGCTAGAGCTTGGCCTTTTGGGATGTCGCTGAGACATCGAAGAAAAGTCTTCGAGTCAACCAAAACACGATTCGAACGAGGATGATCGCCTGAGCCCTCGGCATTCGAATCGTGTTTTGTTTGATTCGATCGAAGACTTTTCTTCGATGTTTGTACATAACGTTGAAGACGCGTCGAGCGCGTCCCAGCAGGGATCACACTGTACGTACAACAGTACACAGTCAGGTCACCGTGTTTCTGTAGCCATGCATGCTCACTGTACGTAGACTCTAGTACTCTGTAGACTGTACTGTACTAGTCTGTAGTGTGTACAATCAACACTAGCTCGAGCACCGTAGATCTACCGTGCAACCGCTTTTGGACGATCGTTTCAGGTCGCGCGCCCCGAACCTAGTCTAGCTAGCCCCGGCGCCTGCCTTTTATTTTTCGAAACCTAGGTCGAAGCTTTTGAGAGGGGGGGGGGGGGGGCGCCCCCCTTCCCCCCCCCCCCCCCCCCCCCCTAAACCCCCACTGATTCTGGCAGCTGTCAATTGTAGTAGTAGTAGCAGTAGTGTGTGCGTGCGTGTGTGTGTGTGTGCGCAAGTGAGAGAGAGTGTGTGTGGGGGGGGGGGGGGTGCGTGTGTGTGCGTGTGTGTGTGTGTGTGTGTGTGTGTGAGAGAGAGAGAGAGAGAGAGAGAGAGAGAGAGAGAGAGAGAGAGAGAGAGAGAGAGAGAGAGAGAGAGAGAGAGAGAGAGAGAGAGAGAGAGAGAGAGAGAGAGAGAGAGAGCACACACACACACACACAAAAAACACACACGTGCATAAACACACACACACACACACAGCACACACACACGCACACACAACACAGAAACACATCCCATCTGACACAATCTGTCTCCTTACCCAGGCAGCAATGGAGAAAGAAACAAAAAGCAGCGACTGCTTCACCATCACTCTTGCGACTTTCGAAATTAGCCTTTGCCAAGGAGTTGCTATTGAAGTCGTCCACAACAACCTCCAAAGGCTACGAGGAAGAGGAAGGCCAGCACACCGCAGGCAATGGCCCTGACTAAATTGACGGGTTTAGAGTTGAGAAAAGCTAGCACGGTGACCCCGACGAGTTCCACCACGGCCATTGCTGCAAAGTAACGAAGGTATCGGGTCAAAACCAAGAACAAGATGGAGAACGGCAGAGTCAGCACCATCAAAGATTAGAACTGCATGATTTAGCAGCAGCAACAGCAGCAGACGACACACACACACATGCCCACGCACGTGCACGCACACACGCTGAACGCATGCACGTGCGCACGCACGCACACACACACACATCACACACACACACACACAATTGACAAATGCACGTGCGCGCACGCACACACGCACGCACACACACACACACACACACACACACACACAAATGTACGTGCGCGCACGCACACACACACACACACACACACACGCACACACACATTAACAAGAACACACATTGCTTGGGTGGATGGTGCGCGGCCCGCGAAATTGAATTGCATTTGCCCGGGGGGCAAGTAATAGCAGGGTTGGCAAGAGCCAAGAGCCCACTGATGCATTCAATGGAGAAATGGAGAGCCGCCGGGCACCGTTTATTGGGGTTTACTTTATAAAAGTAAGCATGTGAGGATAAATATGGGAGTGGGAGGGTGGGAACGAGAAACAAATAAACTGACAACCAGTCACCACCATGAACAATTCTTGAGAAGAGATTGTCAGCAAGGGAGCAAGAAAAATGGGTCGCCATTTTTGCGTCATGGTAACCGGACATCAGTATGGTTGCTGACGTCATGGGCACGTTATGTGAGCTGGGGTAAATGTGAGTGGCAACACTGACAGTTGTGCGACACCATGCCTGCGCGAGGACACAGGGCAGCAGAGACAGTTGTGCGGCGCCATGCGCCCGCAAGGACATGTGGCGGCAGAGATAGGTATGCGGCCCCACGCGCCTGCGAGAACAAAGGGGCGGCGGAGACAGTTGTGCGGCACCATGCGCATGCAAGGGCATGGGGCAGCAGGGGCATTTGTGCGGCACCATGTGCATTCGAGGACATGGGGCAGCACGTACCCGCGGCGGTGAGCTGCAATGATGCTAGCTGTTAATGAGCATAAATGCTGCGCTTTAATGCGACACACACACACACACACGCACACACACACACACGCACACACACTACTACTACTACTACTACTATTGACAGCTGCCAGAGATGGCCACGGCGCTGTAGCGACCTGAATCACTGAGTATTACGTCATTCTACATACGCATGCGCAAGAAATAAAATCATTCTCTTTGGTCACAACTTCTTCGTTGTCCGGTTGGCCAAAGTAGCCGTCGTCTAGGGCCCGACGTAAAACCCTAAATTGGTGACCCCTGACGCTGCGCTCTTCGGAGTTTTGAGCATGCCATCCCCGAGCTCGGCCCGCCGCAGTTTCCTGCTCGCCTGAACTCTCGGGAACCCGTCAATCGCCGGCTGTTGACGTAAAACTTGAGCCTCACCACCACTCGTCACTGGATCCGCCTCGGAGCTGCTGTGGCCCCTGCCACCCTCCCGGCCCACCTGGATACCCCGCTATCCTGCCACGGCACATCGTCCAGTCGTCTTCGTCCTGGCCTCAAGCTGGAAATTGGCCACCTCCACCCGTCGTACCAGCTCACTCACTGTGCACGCACGCAGGCACACGCCCGGCACCGGACCCCATGGAGCTGCGCTCGCCTCCATCTGTCCCCGCCTCAGTCGGCACGCCTCGCCCCAGTGCAGCGCTCCTGCTGGTATCCCGCCAAGCCTGCAACATGCAGCCGCCTCTGACACGATAACACTCCTCTGTCACGCGTACATTTCCTTTCTTTCCGCCTCTGACACGATAACACTCCTCTGTCACGCGTACATTTCCTCTTTTCTTTCTTTCTGCCTCTGACATGCTCTCCACCTCTGTCACGTTAACACACCTCTGACATGTTAACCTGCCTCTGTCATGCATCTCTCTCATTTCCGCTTTCTGCATTTTTGATTTTGTTTCGGCCTTTGTTGCCACGTCTCAAACAAATTTCATACACGCAGCGCTCTCGCCTGTACATATGTATCATATTATTATATTTTTGCCGTTCCGCCTTGTACATGCTGCGCTTTCCTTTCTCTTCTCTTTCTTGTTTCTTGTTTATCGTGCTTCGCTCCTCCCGACCTCACCACTGGCGGGGGAGTACTGTAGCGACCTGAATCACTGAGTATTACGTCATTCTACATACGCATGCGCAGGAAATAAAATCATTCTCTTTGGTCACAACTTCTTCGTTGTCCGGTAGGCCAAAGTAGCCGTCGTCTAGGGCCCGACGTAAAACCCTAAACACACACACACACACAGTCACACACACACATGAGCACACATACTGTGCATGCAGACTTAGTATGAGTTGACAGTAGAACATTAACCCTTTCAGTGCCAGGGGGTTGAGCCGGACTCAAATTGTTCATAGCTCAGCTGTATATCCACGCTGTATATCCACGCTGTATATCCACGCTGTATATCCACGCTGTATATCCACGCTGTATATCCACGCTGTATATCCACGGACGGATCTTTACAAACGAAAGCTCTCTGCAAAGATAACGAGGCCGGGCAGACAACTGAGAAGAGAAAATGCAGCGAAAATAGTCTCTCGCGAGGGCGTCTGAGTGAAGTCCGCCTTCTGCATTTTCGTAGCATCTGCACTTTCTCACGCGCACGATCGATCGCAGTGCAGTCAACTTTCAACTCAGGAAATTTGGACAAAGTTGGCCTGAAAGCCACTTTCGTCTACATGCAGCCACACAAGATTCGGTTCGTTGTAAACCAAACTTGTTCGCAATAAAGGGGCAATTCTGTATTGGCTCAAACAGGGACATGGACAATGGTTCGTTACAATTATCACAAAATTCGCTATATGCGAATTATATGCGAATTCGTCGTCCTACTGTAAAACCGGGAATTTTCACTGGTTTAAAATTTTCGGTATCTCCAAAAATCAACGGTTCGGTAGCGCGGCACTACGGGGGGGGGGGGGGGGGTGAGGGGGACACTACGGGGGGGGGCACTACGGGGGGTGGGGGGACACTACGGGGGTGGGTGGGGGACACTACGGGGGGGGGACACTACGGGGACACTACGGGGGGGGGGGGACACTACGGGGGGGTCACTACGGGGGGGGGGACACTACGGGGGGGGGGGGGGGGACACTACGGGGGGGGGGGGTCTAACAACAATCCATTCTTGATGCGAGATCATTATTGAAGCAAGTGCAGATCACAGGTGTTAGCGGCCGTCGTGAGTTCGAACGGACACGATAATTTACTTTTTTTCTTTACTTTTTTTTTAAGTTGCAGATCACCAGTGACCTACCTATCACAATGAATCCAGCAATCAGTCCAACAGCTCCAATACCAACTGCTGTGTCACAACCGCGGCTTGAAGGGAAAGCAAGGGGCCGTGGACTTCCTAAATAGCACACGGCTATGGGTGACCCGGGAGCGGGGCTTATCAGACGATCGTTGGTCACTCCGACTACGATGATAGCGAACAGCTGCATTGGGATCACAGGGTGTAAGCACAGCAACATAAATCCACATACACACACACACACATACACACACACACACACACACACACACACACACACACACACACACACACACACACACACAAACACACACACACACACACATATACACACACACACACACACACACATGCACGGCTTGCACGCACACACACGCACATACATACATACACACGCACGCACACACGCACATACACACGCACGCACACACACGCACAAGCACACAGTGGTCTCCTAGGACAGGTGGTCGCCTTATCCGAATGGTCGCCTTAACAGGTTTGGCCGTACTATATTTAACTTTTTAAGTAAACAAATATTCGGCGCATACTTACTCTTGACTATTTTCGGCCTGGGCATTTGTGGAAGAAAATTTCTTTGCAGGCAAAATTTCGTTTCGAAAGGTTCAGTGTCACAGGTAGTTAACTGAAAGTCTACAATTTTTCGGCCATTCAAATTTCGGCCTCCCAGGGCTAAAACACATTTTGGCCGCATCAAATTTTCGTCCTGTACTGCTGCCACCATGAGTATAATTATAACTCCCATGAGTATAATTATAACTCCCAAGAGTGTGCAATTCTGCATATGCCGGGGTCTCCGACGGTGAAAACTCACATCACGTGTCTCAGATGCGTTCGTGCTACGTATAAACGAAGGATAGCGTGCGCGCAATCCGAATATCCGCCATGATCATGCTGGGGATTTGCAGACCCGCAGTGAGTTTCTGTCAGAGAGTGCTTTTTCATTACTCCTCTGCTCGCTAAAAACGGCCTGGAAACAGCCTGGAAACGTACAACTGCGACACTGCACCACGCGATGTGAGTTTTCGCCGAAAGGGTATCGGGAGTTGCACACTCTTGGGGGGCTATATACTCTTGCTGCCGCCTGTATACCGTAGTGTCGCGTGTAAAGGCATGACCTGTTTTTACTTCGCATCCCGTTCCTACCCAATCCTGCTGGGAGATGTTCTATCCAATTTCTGGGCAGCACTACATGGAATTCTCTACCCGATGCTACCCGCTCTCTAACAAACCTTGTTCATTTCAAAAAATCTCTTTCAGAACTTGATCTCACTTCACTCCATTAGCTAATGACACACTATTACGTTCTGTCAGCTGTCCATCATCAATATTATCTGCATGTACAACCACAACACACATAAAATACACTGCTGCATGGTATTTTTATAATTGTCCTGCTGACAGTCATGACATCTTATTACTTCCCATGCTGTTCATATTGATCATATTAACCCTTTCACTGCCAGCTGACCACTCAAGGTGACAAGGTGCTCCCTGCCAGGCTGTCAGCTGAGCTGTACACCCCCTCCCTGCCAGGCACTTTTTACCTCCAGCTCGAAAAATCGAAAGGCCTACTTTTCCTGGATATTTCGGTACTTTCTGTACGGAATATCGCTTTCCAAAGTATACATCGTAGGTAGACAACTCACAAAGGACGCCATTGCCATCGAAAAAAATCGAAAAATCCGAAGTACAAATGTGCTGCGCGATCTAACGCCAGCCGCTGTGCAAAAACGCGTGTCATGTCATGCGAAAGTGCGCGGTGCGCCGCATGCGCTACATACACTATGTACACGATCGGCCCGGACACTCGCGAAGTAAAGTTAGGTGTTCGTTGTTTTGGAGAGAGAAGCAGATCCTTTTTTTTCGTTCGCAGGGATTGAAAGATATGCCAGTGGACAGGAGAGCTACAACACTGGAAGCAGAAGAGATGGCTTGCGGAATCTTCAGTCGCGAGAGATTTTCGTCCTGTCGTTGCAGACGAAATTCTTGTTGCTGCCACCAGAAAACTCGGAAGTCGTTTGGTGAAGCGGATCGTGTCGGTGAACGGCTGCGGAATGTTCTGCCGCCATGGTGGTCGTTTGTTCTCCCAATTAGCAGCAGTCCAAATACTTTTCAACTTCGGAGAGTGAAGCGCTTCCCTGTTCCGTTGACAAGCGCGGCGTTCGCGGGTGTAATTCACTTTCGCATCAGCTTGCAGTAGATCGTCAGGTATTGAGCCAGAGGTAGGTGTCGTTGTAGAAAGAATATTATGTTGTAGCTGACATACCTGTAGTGTCTCTTGACCGTGCTGGTCGCCATTGTAACGTGGTAGTTCTTAGAAAATTTTAGTTCTGGACCCAGTGACTGCCGCCAGCGCTGTTTCCGTCAAGTTTGCAGTGAATGCGTCCGCGAGGAATCTATCGTCTGGTTGTCTCTACCCGTGACTCCAACCGCCTATCGCAACGGATAGCCGCCTGGAGTCTTGGGTAATAGCTAGGCACCAAGTCTGAACCAAATTCCATGCTCCGTGCAATGAAAGTTGACGGGAAAGAGGAAAATACTCGCACCGACTCAGCGAGGTGGAAGTGCGTGAGAACCGGTTTCTTCCTCGCCGATCGGCTAAAAATCGGATGCGCATTTTCAACGACGCTGGTTCGATTTTTTTCAAATGGCAACCCATATTTCTGGAAGCGTATTTCGATGGGTATGGACACCTTCCAGGGCCCAGTGGCCGTCTACCACGGCTAAACATCTCCAATATTCGAAAATAGAGGCACAAACTGGGTGAGGTCTGCCTGTCAACGGAAGTCGACAACAGCACTGGGGACTGCATGTTTACTCGTCGACGCAAGTCGACAATGGCACTCGGAGTGCATGAATGTTCTGTCGACTGCAGTCGACAGCGGCAGTGAAAGGGTTAATCTATCATACTATTTTTCATCATAGCCTAGGAGCTGTGGCATCATTTATGATCCACAGCAAGAAGGCAGCAATGCCTGTACCTATGGCAGGGATGAATTTATCCTGTATCGCATCGCAGTTTGCGATGCAAAATCGATCTACTTCTACTCAAAAGTCACCGTGATTCGCAGAAAACTGCGATACATACAGACTATCTATGCCAAGCCTACAGTGCAGTGTATGTGGTGCAGGCACTCTCAATCTGCGTGCACATTTATGATTCAGTCGTTTTTTTGCAAATGGGCTTTCAGGCATCACTCTCAAGAAGGACAATGTGGTAAACACCCACCCTTCAAAGAAAAATGCTAATCAAAATCAAAGACTGCTACACAATTGTGATTTTGTATAGCCGAAACTGCTATGCAAAAATATGACAATAAATTCATCCCTGTCATATGGTGAAGTAAAATAAAGCTTACATTACATAACCTGTATAGAAGCGTGACTCGAACAGAAGCCGATTCTTCCAAGCGCGCCGTGACACAGAAGCACGATTTGAATAGAAGCCGCTCTCTGCAAAGACACGTGGACGTACTTGCACGGTACCTGCGTGCCAGTATCCCAGTATCTATCCACTGCACAGTGTACACTGATGATGTTGACGTAGACGCAGGTTTTGAATAGAAGCATGGTTCGAACCGCGGCTTATGCGGCCGTAAGCACCTGCTTTTATACGCGACATTACGGTATGTATTGAACTTTGCAAAAATAAATTTCGGCCGCAAGACATTTTTGGCCAAACATGACCAGGCAGCAGCAGCAGCAGTACGGGCTGAAATTGTAATGCAGCCGCTACTGTATAAGCAGAAATATTCGTCTGGAATTTAATTTCGTCTTTTTCGTCCAAGGAGGTTTCGGACTAAATTAAATGCCGGACTACTGTCGATTTGTCCACCTTTTCAATACACTCCTATGATCCATGGACGAAAATTTACAACCAGACGAACTTCCTTTCTTTGGAGTTGAACGAAATTATTGACCGACAAAATTTTCTGCATGTACAGTATGTGTTTTAGCCCTGGGAGGCCGAAATTTGAATGCGCTGAAAACATACAGTAGGTATGCTCAAAAAAGGTGGTCTCTCACAAGAGGTGGTCTCCCATAGGAGGTTGTCTCTCATAAGAGGTGGTCACTAATCACAGAGAATAGCTATGTGACTGGCAAGACTTACAGTTGCCAGTATGGCAATAACCAGGTGGACGATACTGGAGATCTCAGGCATGTTGAACTGACCGCAGCGCTGACAATGCCCCTGCGTGTACACGTGCGCGCGTGTGTGTGTAGTCACTAGATCTGATCACTGGGAGAGCTTGGGCCGTCTCCGTCCGCCTTAGCTGTGTGCACAACTGGAGAGAAAGAAAAAAAAACATTTCAAAAATAATTTGAAACGAAGAATGTGCGTACGGACACACAAATACACATACACACACAAGCCTGTGCACACACACACACACGTACACACACACACACACACACACACGTACACACACATATACACACACTTGGCCTGGTGTACGGCTGCCAAATGCTTGGCCGCCCTGCCACCGATACAGGGGAGAGTAGAAGAGAGAGAGAGTTCGAGAGAAGTCAGCACTGCCACTAGGAAGCCGCTCCGCCACGACGTCGTCCACGATTGCAATTGTGTCGCCGAAAGCCAGGAGCAGATTTAAAACAGCGATCACCAAATTTTGAATTTTGAATCCTCTCTTGGCGAGCGAAAGCCGTCTCCATCGGGCCAGATGCGTTCAGCAGAGAGCGAACATTCCAGGGAGCAAGCTGAAGACTCTCTCTCTCTCTCTCTCTCTCTCTCTCCACTCTTCTATGGACAGATTTCTTGTCAGTACCCACTCGCGGGCTCGTCACACCGCGACGAGTGGCAACTCTTGTCAGGTGACAAGTGGCAGTATCAATCTCTGCCCCGGACATGACGCCTGACTTTCCAAGAGTTGTTCTCACACTCTAGCCAACTAGGGTGGCGCTTTCAAGAACCAGCAAACTTCAACACTCACACACACACGCGCACACACACACACACACACACACACACACACACACACACACACACACACGCACCTGTACTTGTTCACCACCATAAACTAAAACTGGTCAAGAGCGTCTTCATGGAAGATGGGGAGAGAGACCCTAAATGAATCTTGGACAGATGACTCGATTGCCCAACAAACCACCCGCCGGCTGGCATCCTCCCCCTACTCTTTAACCGTGCAATAATCTATACATACAGTCGACTCCTCATATAACGATCACCATTGTGCAATAGAATTTAGCTCCTTAGATGAGACCAAAATAAAATCGAGATTCCCGGGCAGAACCCAGGTGAAATTGAGGCGGGCGAAATTTTTTATATTTTTATTTTTCCTTTGTATGTATGCATGGCATGATGAATTCGTCTTTTACAGTAATTTCCGGTAATTTTGTTTATTTTTTCACGGACAACAGGTAAGCGGTTTACCCGTACAAAGTTTTTTTGTTGTTTAGTTTGGCCAAAGATGTAATGGCCCCGAGTCGTACATCAGGGAATCATCCGGGTTTGTGTGACTCCCTGTCACAGATCTACTCACACGATCGGTACTGAACACGTACCGTAACGTACCGCGAGAGCGCCGCACCATCTCGTCCTTTCGTGGTCGTTTTGTGGAGGTGGTTTCCTGTCTGTAGGTCATACGACACGAACCTTGTACAGATAGTGCACGTTGTGCAGTCAATCCGTACCTTCGAGTGGACACGAGCTCCACACAAAAACCTGCAAAGTGTGACCTTAGTACACTAAGGTTCTCACACCGTACAAACTTCATTGCACTCTTCCATACGGTTTTCCTTTCCCTGGCCTGTGAGATCAAGGTGTGGCGCTCTGGAGGTACTTTACCGTATATAAACCGTTCAAAAAAAATTGACTTCGGCTCGATTTTGGGGAGGGCCCGGGAATCTCTTGTTTTTTATTGGTCTCGCCTTATAGCTGAAGTTCTGTATAACCGAAAGGCACTTACACCATACAAGCAAAACGTCACGATTTGAATGTGGCGCATAAGAGTATAATTGTATTTAGTTTAAACGTGGCCCTACAAGATTATGGTTCGTTCAAATGAAAACTGTTTCGCTAGAATGGGTCGATTTCGTACGGGTTTAAACAAGGACACGGACACTGGCTCGTTGTATCATCTCAACCATGTGATAATGTGTAGGTATTTGCAATCACATAACCTCTCCATCCTGCCTCACGTGTCCCCATCATCTAACCACTCCAAGTGGCCGTCAGGCGAAATAGAACGTCATAGTACATTTGAGATCAGCGGGAAGAAGATGACGACGTCCACTAATTTAGTATCTGTGCACACGAATCTGCTGTGTGTGTGACTCTGTGTGTCAGCTATGATATCATCTTCTGTGGTTCCATGCCTAGCATGTACGTCTGAACCATCCTGCAAAGTTTGAATGACGTAGGTTGAGCGATCGCTCCGCGAAACATACTTTTTGAAATTCTCTTCATAGTATATCTTCCACCATTGAAATTTCGAATTTCTTCGAATTTTTTGCTGAGAGGGGTGGCTTGCAACCTCGATATGGCTTGTTCCAGGCATGCTTTGGAGCCATCTTTTGTTGGAGTAGTGGCAGGGATCTGCCCTGCAACTGCTACAACAAAAAATGATTCGATCTGAGAAAGGGTGAGACCGCGAATCTCGGTTGAATATTGAGTATTTCAAGCCTTTTCACGACGAAGATGGAGTTCTTTTTGGAGATGGACGTCGCGGCAAAGGACATGGTGTCCGACTTCTGGCGTCTGGTGAAGCCAGGGATCATTTGTCCAGTCAGGTCGGCAGCCTAACCGTTGGTAAGCTTGTGTTTGCATCCCGTTCTCCTCGATGTGGTAGATCACAAACAATTTGATATCGCACAAATTGATCTCAGCATCGTGCGTACGGTATTTTTATATTCAGAAAATCCCAAAGTGTCTCTGTGTGGCCGTCCTATGCCACGAGAAACTTCAATCAGGCTCCTATGTCCTCTGCCTTCATGATTGAATGTCCACTTCGTTTGAACAACGAACACAACAATCGAGGACGGCTTTGCAATGAAAAATACAGCTATACTGGAGCTGAAAAAAAGAAGAAAAAAACGTGCTCAGGATGAGACTCGAGTACACGCATACTCTCCCAGCAGGTGAAACGCAAATTTTTGTGAAAAATGCGTGTCGCCGACTGACCAGTAATTTCGCCTGACGAAACAATTAAGACAATCAATCAATCCAATATGAAGCCGTGTGAGATTCACTTCGATTTAACAACATCAAACTATATCAACGTGTGTATCCAATATCAAACAATAATCAGAGGACAGAGAAAGTGTTTTAACTCCGAGTTTCACGCACTAAGCGATCATCAGAAAACAGCAATGAGTAACTCTGGATCAGTATTGGTTTATATACCCACAAAGCAAAAGTGTAAATGACAGCATACCTAAATTTTCAATACACCGGACAAACAGCAACACGCATAATCTAATAGGGAACTGCTTCTCTGTACCTAAAATTTCTGTTCACATAACCTGGCCTTTTGCCCTCATTCCGAAAATATTGAGCACCGAACATTTCCGAAATTAGAGTAGTTCCGTTCAAGTTAGTTTGTATATCCAATATTTACGAACTTAGAAAGTTATTGTTGTCCCTCACGCGGACGTGCGACTAGTTGTTGGAGGTGACAGCGTTGTGAATAGCTATACTGGCTCTCAACGTCTGTTCAGCACAACTCCATGAGCGACTCTGACTCACGCTGCTACCTGGGGCTTCACGAGGTGTTTGTCGCGCTGGAAACAAAGCGTCTCTGTAAGTTTGTATCCCTGGTGATGGTTTGGCCTGGAGAGCAGTATATAAGTGGTGCTTTTCAGGCACAATCTTCCTCAGCCTACTCAAGCTCAACTGATGAGGGGTGAATTCCCCGGAACACTGTGTATTGAGCAGGGAGTGGTGCTTTCTTTCAGGTTTGCCGAGCGGAAGGTGCGACGTGCTCCTCGTGTGCTCCGGATGGCAGTCGTGAGTCAGTCAAGTGTCAAGTTCGGCAAGAAGCGTGTGCTCCTCGTTGGAGCAACCAACATCCAATATTTATTTATTTTATATTTTATTCCAAGCAATACATGGCTGGGGTAGCCAATGACCACTTTGCGTGGCGATTGCAGTGTTCTTATAGCCAACCACGGCTATAATATCAAACAATCAAACAAATAATTAAAAGCCCCAGTGCCTTCCGTAACATTCACTCAAAAATATTCCAGAGCATACGTGCCAACCATCCCGATTTGGAGGGGACTGTCCCGCTATTGAGGGTGGTGGTAATAGGCACCCAAAAGTGCATTCGCCGCGTGCCTCACACCTACATTCGTATCCACTTTCACACCTAGGTATGTCAACGTCCTCTCAGGCCTCATTTACACGACAACGATTGAAAAACGTTTTTGTCAAAAACGTTTTCAAAAGAATACGCTTCCACAGATTTTGATAAGAGCTTTTACACAACAACGCTGAAAAACGTTTCAAAAACGTTTCAAACGAAAAACGGCTTCAAAGCGTTTTTCAATCGTTTTCGTTCCGTTTCGTTCTCGTGTAAACGGCAAAAACGTTTTACTAGTACGAGCCTTGTACTCAAAACATGCCGCCGCCAGCCTGCGCCAGGCCAACTTATTGCACGTGACCATTGCGCGCCGAAAAACGTGTTGCAGTGTACACGATTATCGTTTTCGTGTGAACAGCAAAAACGTTTGGAAAACGATTGAAAAACGTTTTTCAATCGTTGTCGTGTAAACGAGGCCTCGCTCAGGTTTGCACAGGTTGGCAGGTACACTGAATGGCTCAGCCAGTACGGCAGTAGTGCTTGCTAAAAGCATAATAATACCGATACTAATGAGTTGTACTAATGGAGTGGAAGTCTCACTCAGGGCGACGCGATGTTTTCCACATGACGGGACACAGCGTGACAAAACGTCATGGGAAGTACAATCATGTAACATCACATGATAATTCAGCCTTTCCAAAACAGCACACGCGGCATACAGACTACATAATAATTATTGTAGACGAATCCCAGGCTTTCAGACTAGACGGATGAAAGCGTGCATGCAAGAACGAGCAGCACAAATAGAGCGCAACCTCTCTGCACTGCACAAGCGCAGAGCGCTCTGCTCGCAGCGTGAGGACCGTTTCGGCCCGAGTTAGAGAGGTTCCGCACTTGAAACATTATTATTATCTGCGTGCATTTTTCCCCGTAGATCTACTGCATTTAGCGCTGAACTTGAAGTTACAACTGCTATTGCTGCTGAACACAGGAAAACAAGCGACTCGCAAGAGAACCAACACTCGTCTACACTAGATACAGTAGACGCTGCCAAACCAGCCATGGAGTCTACCATAATAAGGCCTAAACAAATAATGACCTTGTTTCCGGTCGGCCGACCGGGCCACTTTTTCCCAAATTTTGAAACTTTTTTTGGTCCCAAATGTATACAAACGATGGCAATGTCATGTGTGCAAGTGCACTCAACGAGTCATAACTCAGTCAAATCTCAATCGAACTCCACAATCGAAACACCTACAAGGTAGCAGAGATTCTCAGCTGTCGGCTCGAAAACCTCCGGGGTCGATACGAGCTAGAATAACGGAGCTGGAAGGACTCGAACTGTTTGCTTGATTTCTCAGGATGTACGAAAACAAGAATACACCACATGCTGTACAAGAACAGTGAGTCAGTCAACCTTGACATTGATCCTTGCCATGATATATGTACAATGTACATGTGTAGGTGCTCTTGTCCATCAATACCACAACGATTGAGGAACCAAAAAAAGTATCCAAAAAAAGTTTCATTCCGGCCGACCGAGTCTCCTTTTTGAGGGGTTGCCGACCGGAAACAAGCCTATTTTTTGTTTTGGCCTAATAATAATAGTATTCGTTTCGACACCAGTACAGGACAGTCCATGACGAACAGTTGCGGAAGAACGTCACAAACTACACATTCCGCATTATCATCGCCAGGGCAGGACTGAGGTGTCCGTCCCTAACCGACCCTTATACCATGGTACGGTACGGAGGGCCTGTTTTCAGCCAATCAGCGCTCGTCTAGCCATGGTTATATTGGCCAGTATAAATCCCGCGCGGGATTTATATAGAATATAAATCCCGGTGCACGGTACGTACGCTAGGGCACTGCCACCGTACATGTTCACTGCCTGAAAGGCAGTGAACTTGTACGGCGGCAGTACTCCAGCGCACGGACCATACATAAACAGACACAACGGACACCACATGCGCGTGTACACTCCACACAGAACGGCACACTGACGAGGAACAGTACACAATGGAAAAGAAGAATGACCTGGAATTCGTCTACAGAGTATTCTATTATACTGAATCTGAGGATAAAGAACGTCGAATAACCACGAAGTATCCCGAATAGGTCAGCAATGTACATTGTACTTCGAAGAGTTGAAGATCATCAACGCACTGTCTCCTTCGTAAATAAGTTTATAATACCAGTGTACATGTACTTCAACCCGATTGGAAAAGGCTAGATTGGATTGAAATGTGATACAAAACAGTGTATGCAAATGCATCTACTTGCAAGCAAAACTGATTATGAGATGCCGCATGTGAAAATCAGCACTGTACCATAATTATAGTAACACTTACTCCCAAAGAGTCCAAGCTGTAATCTAACTAGTGACGGTAGTTTGATTCAACGACAAACTCCAGCCCCGCTGCAATTCAGTCGACTTCCGCACCGCTCACGACTCAAGACAAGATCATGAAGATGCTACAATATGCACTGGAACTGAAAGGAAATCTTATGCCAAACATCCACGGAGGAATCTCCTTCTGACCTTGCTCGACCATTCTTTCAATTGACAACTGATAACCATCAGAAGATGTTCATGTACTGCATGATGTAGGAGATCTCCAAATAGGTTCGTTGTTCTGGAAATGCGTAGGGGTACCTGGCATAAGTAGGATATGACCCTCGTAGTCGGGTTATACCGTACCCTCATATAAATCCCTCCTGCTATCGCAGTCGGGATTTATATTCAGCCGGTATAACCCTCTGACTCGGGTTATATCCTCTACACGGCTACCGACAGCATGCAGCGAGTGAAACACACTACGCAGCTGAGGCCATGTGCCCTGTAGATTGTACTAGTAGCCACGAGAGGCAAGGCCGCGGACAGGCAACTCCACTGAGCCATTCGTACAGATTGATTCCATGGTGGTACAAGACACAGGGCTTTTAGCGAGCGAATACAAACAAAAGCCTACAGGGCAGACCTACATTAGCTACAAATATGCCCCAACTCAGGGCCACGCGCCACACAGAGTACTGAGCAGAGGACAAGAAAAAAAACACGCCACGCAACGAGTTGCGCGAACGTACTGTACTCACAATTGTGCTAGAGATGTGAGCTGCCTCGTAGCGCCACGACCACCACCAGCCACGGCCACTGTCCGTCGCTAACGTTAGCGCACTTGCGGAGACGAGCAGAGAAGAGGGAGAGCTAGGCGAGCGCGCGGACAACAAAATTTCTAAATTATTCCTTGCGCTAGAGTACTCATTCCAACAAAACCCGGAGAACGACACGCAAAGCGCCCAAAGCCAACGGACTGACAAGAGAGAAGTTTAGTTTCGTCCATGCGCAAGCAGGAAGTGGGAAGCAAGTATCCTACTAATACTGAGTACTAATCTAGCATTATGTGCATGACTCGTACCGGGCCGCGGGGCGCGGGCCGGGTTGCAACGACGTTGATCAAGAAAAAAGTACTACTAGTAGTGTACTAGTACTAGTACTACTAGTCTATGAAACGTAACGTTACGTAACTTCGAAAAGTATAGTACAGTATTCACCATCACAAACACGTGTAATGACGTATAATTATTATTATGACGTCGACACTGTGACTGCAGTGCCAGTGTCAGTGAGTGCAGCCATTCGATTATGCGCGCGAATCGATTCATGAATCGATTCGCGCTTTCACATCACTCACTCATCAGTGCCATCACCCTACATTACATGTATGTGGTGAATGGATGGCCCATCACGGCATCAGGGAAGCCTATGCTGAGTATGCAGAAGGAGTTCACTTCAGGCCCAACATCTTCAGCCCTCCTCGGCCTCGAGGCACTGTGGGGAAAGGCTTTGTGGCGCAACTCGCCCAATACCTAGCCTGCTTTGGGAATGGCGGAGTCTTTGAGGGAGCCGCCCTGCAGATTGCCATGACGTTCCAACTATTACTGCTGCAGAAGTCACCGGGGGCCAATCCTAACGCTTTCACGGATATCCTCCAGCGCCGAATGGAAACATGGAATAGAGGTGACATCTGTGACCTGAGACAAGAATGCCGGACCATCCAGCGGCAGCTGAAGCGTGACTCCGTGAGTCGGCCACCGGGAGTAGAGACCCAAGGTACAAGACTCAACAAGACATTTCGCGTCCCTGGTTACTGATGGGAAAATCTCGGCAGCGCTGCTCTACGCCAGCTAGATGGATCAACCGAGGGTGGTCTTCTCAAGCTTGACGATCAGATTGCGGGGGGAAACAGTTTGACAGGTCCTCAAGACAAAGCATCCTGAGGCAGCTCCCTTGAGTCACGAAGCCCTGATGCAAGGACCCTTCCCCACGTCACCCCACCCAGTCAGATTTGAGAAGTTGAACCGTGATGCCATACGCCAGGCATGTCTACACACAAATGGGGCTGCGGGGCCATCAGGAGTGGATGCTGCCACGTGGCACTCGCTTATGCACCAGCTTTCCGGATGCTTCGGATGCCTTGTGTGATTCTCTTGCTTGCTGTGCACGCCGCCTAGCAACAAAGTATGTCAACCCCTCCTCCCTAGAGGCCTATCTTGCATCTCGGGTTGTGCCCCTGGCCAAAAGCCCAGGGGTCAGACCCATTGGCATCGGCGAGGTGATCCGACGCGTGATTGGAAAAGCAATCCAGTCAAAATGATATCCAGGAAGCAGCAGGTAGCCAACAACTTTGCGCAAGCCAAGACTGCGGCATTGAGGCCACCATTCACGTCATGACGGATGTATACAACTCCCTGATGTCGACGGTGTGGTGATTGCTGACGCCAGTACGCCTTTAAAGGGGAAGTTACATGTAAGGCAAAAATTAAAATTTCACCAGTTGTAGTCTTCGGGGTGCTGAGTCGAATGGTCTTGGTCCGAAAAAGCTGAGACGCTCCCTTCCTACTTGAATCCCAATCGAACTCGCGCACTTCCACCGAAACTGGGTGACTGCGCCCTACTAGATGGGGATTTGTATGCAAAATGTCACTAAAAGCGCCATTTCGTTCTTATAAAAGCACGGATGACCGCGATTGGCCCATATGTTGTAGTCTTTTGGACGCTGAGTCGACTGGTTTTGGTCCGAAAAGACTGCGATGCAGCTTTCCTCCTTTATTCCCAATCGAACATGGCTGAACAAGTGGTCACGTGCTCCTGGGTGCCCAAATCACCTGGTCACCACGCCAGCAGGCGACAACTTTCACACCAAGGTTCAACTCGAGTTCAACTCGAGTGACAGGACTGCACCCAAAAAAGGTCAAACAGGCTAGTAAGTTGTACCCTGCAGGCACGGTGACCAGCTGACTGGTGTACGCAGGAGCACGTGACCGCTTGTTCAACCATGTTCGATTGGGAATAAAGGAGGAACGCTGCATCTCAGCCTTTTCGGACCAAAACCAGTCGACTCAGCGTCCAAAAGACTACAACATATGGGCCAATCGCGGTCATCCGTGCTTTTATAAGAACGAAATGGCGCTTTTAGTGACATTTTGCATACAAATCCCCATCTAGTAGGGCGCAGTCACCCAGTTTCGGTGGAAGTGCGCGAGTTCGATTGGGATTCAAGTAGGAAGGGAGCGTCTCAGCTTTCTCGGACCAAGACCATTCGACTCAGTACCCCGAAGACTACAACTGGTGAAATTTTAATTTTTGCCTTAACTTCCCCTATAACAGCCTCAACCGTGCGGCATGTATTCACAACATCCGCCTGCCATTCCCAGCCCTAGCAACGGTTGTCATCAACTGCTACCGCAGCCCCGCCAACTTGCATGTTGGGGAAGAAACCATCCATTCAAGGGAGTGAACCACGTAGGGTGACCTGCTGGCTATGCCAATTTATGCCATCAGCATCCTCCCCTTGATCACGTGCGTGGCTACTGATGGGGCATGCCAACATAATCATTGATATGCTGATTACTCATCTGCTGGCGGCAAGATGGTGTGACAGAAGGTGTGGTGGGATCGCCTCCTGGAACGGGGCCCAGCTTTCAGCTATCAAGTCAATCCCTCAAAATCAGTCCTCATAGTTAAACCTGAGTGTCTGGATGAAGCTCGAAGAGTGTTTGCCGGCTCAGGGATCCGCATAACCGGGGAGGGCCATAGATACCTTGGCGCTGCCATCGGCACACCGGAGTACTGCCAGAACTTTGTCCAGAGGCAGTGTGAGGAATGGCTTGCTGAGGTAGCTATCCTCACAGAGTACCGGTATGCGCACACCCAACCTCAAGCAGCATATAGTGCCTTCACCAGAGGCCTACAGCACAAATGGACCTTCAGCTGTCGAACACTAGCTATGGCGACTGAGCAGCTGGGATGCCTGGAACGACACATCACTACAGAGCTGATCCCAGTGCTGACTGGCCAACACATCAACCAAGAGTACCGTAGCCTCATTGGGTTTCCCTGTCGCCATGGTGGTCTTGCCCTGGCGGATTCTACATCTCTCTCCACTCAGCACTCGGCTTCTCCGCACATCACTACTGCGCTAGTCCATCAAAATAATGAACACTCACACTGGTATCCTGGGAGAGTCATTGGCTGAGGTCAGGGACCGCAAAGGTGAGGTACGGCGTGAACAGCGAAGGTCGGTGGCTCTCCGTGCCATGGAGCTCGCAAATGATGCATCTTCCCCAGTCAAGCGTGCCATGGAGCTTGGTAGCGAGAAAGGAGATTCTAGCTGGCTTCTGCCCACTAGCACGCCATGGCTTTACCCTGTCCACGGGGCAGTTTCGGGATGGGCTGGCGCTTCGCTATGGGTGGCACCCGGACCGACTGCCATCAACCTGCTCGTGTGGTGCAACGTTCACTGTTGCACATGCTCTCTCCTGCGCTACGGGCGGCTTCATTATCATGCGGCACAATGAGGTGAGGGATCTCACGGCGCAGCTGCTCGGTCGTGTGGCGCATGACGTGAACGTGGAGCCAACCCTCCAGCCCTTGAGAACTTGCGTTATCGCACAGCTCTGAGGGATGACCTGGGTCAGCTGGATGTTGTCGCGAGCGGAATCTATGGCGAGCGGTTTGAACGGAGCTACCTGGACATCCGGGTCTTTCAATCCGCACGCTCCATCAAATCGCTCATCATCTGCAGCATCCTGCTACAAGCGACACGAGCATGAGAAGCGCCGGGCCTACGGAGAAAGGATTCAACACGTTGAGCGGGCACGCTTCATCCCTGTGGTTTTCTCGGCACATGATGGCATGGGCAATTCAGCTATTTCTCTCTACAAGCGCATTGCCTCCATGTTGTCCGAGAAGACTCGTGAAGCCTATTCCTCCGTCATGGCCTGGCCAATCTCGCCACTATGCCCACTCCCGAGCTGTTACTAATGAGCTCAGGGAAAGGATTGTTAACGCAGATCCCTCACTAGCTGGTGTGGCAGACGCTACCAAGACCGCCAAACACCAAGTCCACACTGCAGCTCGGGCATCACAGCAACAGCTGAAGGAGAGGTTTGTGAGCGGTGAAGGCGCGGTACATGCGGCTGAGCTTGAGCTTGCTTCCAAGCGTGGTAGCTCTGCTTTGCTGACGTCACGTCCTCTATCCTGCCATGGCTTTCGTCTCTCTAAGTTCGAGTTTAGAGATGTTCTGTGGTTGCGCTATGGCTGGGTGCCGGAGCGTTTGCCGTCATCCTGCATTTGTGTCAATGCGCGCTTTGACGTCTCCTACGCGTTATCCTGCCCGACCGGTGGATTCCTGTCTTTATGACACAATGAAATCCGTGATGTCACCGCTGACCTCATTCGCCAGGTGGCTCTCTCGTTATCCGTGAAACCTCAACTGCAACCGCTCTCTGGTGAGCAGTTCGGCCTCCGGTCTGCGTCCTTAGAGGATAATGCTCGCCTCGACATCGCTGCCAGTGGGCTATGGGGTGGCCGGTTGGAACGCACAATGTTTGATATACAGGTTTTCAACCCCTATGCTGCTTCGAATCGTGCTGCTTCAATCTCCGCTGTGTATGCCTGCCATGAACGCGAGAAGAGGAGAAGATATGAGGAGAGAACTCGGGAAGTCGAGAGGGCCTCCTTCGTGCCAGTCCTCATGTCGGCCAGTGGTGGTGCCGGGAAAGCTGCAACAGTTTTGCACAAGCGCTTGGCCGCTCTCATCTCTGAAAAGAGAAATGACCAGTATTCTGCCACCATGGCATGGATTCGCACCTCGGCTGTGCTTTGCGCTGGTGAGGTCGAGCATCATGTGTTTGCGTAGTGCCAGATCCTCTAAGTCCCGCTGCCTCCAGCGAGATCCAGTTGCGGTTGTCATTGCGGAGGCACGCCTGCGGAGGCACGCCTGCGGAGGCACGCCTGCGGAGGCACGCCTGCGGAGGCACGCCTGCGGAGGCACGCCTGCGGAGGCACGCCTGCGGAGGCACGCCTGC